TAGTTAGTTTATATATTTAAGGTTGAGACCGTCATTCACCTATCGTGTGTAGCATGCATTACAATTTCTATAGCTCGCCTAGCGTGCCTTTCAAAGTGCAAGCTCTTTCGGTATTCGCATAATTATTCTAAAATTTCCCGCCTTTGAGGTGTTCCAGAGTTCAACTTATTCCTCAAAGCTACGGATATTATTGCACTCGCTTACTTTGAATAGTTTTATTAAATGAATTCTTACTTATTTTTTTATCATTGCAGCTTTTTATTATTCAAGTAAGTAGCTTTATTTCATTCATTAGCAGTTGCAAAGAAATCTTCATGTTACATGGATTTCATTCTATCTGCCACTCTAATTTAACTCTATATTAATATGGTATTGTCCACCTAGGTGCTTTCGTTTATCTAAAGTATGCATTGTTTAGTAGGAAAATTATTAATAAAGTTATCCATTTAGTTCAGGACACTGGCGACATCTGTCGATAGGATTTGTCATTACATCCATCATTAGGTTTATTCTCTATTCGCGTTTCGTGAAACATTAACTCGTAGTTATTTAATGCACGTGTTGTAATTACAAAAATACGAGAGACCTAATTTTACTTCACTTTCCCACCCTTATTCTCATAAGGAAAGGATGGGAAGCGCAAGTGGATTTTCCAGATGAGAGGATGCATGGGAAGGAAAAATGTTATCTTTCAGTGTATCCTCTCCTTCGTCGATTAAGGTAGGCAATGCATATGCAATTACGGATATCTATGGGTAACAGTAGCTTCGCTATATCAGCAATTTCAGGTGGCCGCTCGCTTGTTTGCCACTTTATGATATAAAAAAAAATATTCGTACATATAGTTAAATAAGATTTGATCAGTAAAGAAAACATAACCTAAATACACATTAGTTTGACAGTAAACTGATTTATGTAATTTCGAATCCTTTTCTTTGTTTTATATCAGAAAAAGGAATGGAATAAAATTCATTCTCATTACATTGTGAGATGTGACACGAAATGTGACATGGGACGGAATCGTGATTTAAATATTATGGTAGAATTTATATATGCCAATAAAAACATTACCTATTGTAACTTTTAAGTACAAACAATAACACGTTTTCAAGATCTTCAAATAATTTTTTCTTGTATATATCTTTTGTCAATTGTTTTCAATAAATATACTAGAAATATATGTAGTTAATATAGTTATTTAAAACTGTAAAAGATTATCTTTTATCTATAATAAGCGATTGTTTCCAATTGCAATACGTATAATCGCAAATAAGCTATAAATCAATGTTTGCAGACGAGTAACCGTAGAGTTTCAGTGCGGTGATTGTGTTAATACATACTATCAGTACTGGTATTACGGCAAGACATATTTTGGTGACCGTCCAGGGCATTTGACAGATAGGGGCGTTACTGGTTGGCGATCTCTCTCATTCCGTAGTTAAAAAAGTCATCGTCCTGGTAATCTTATCCAGGGCGCTGGCAGCGCTAAATTGTCTCTGTTTAATCAAAGAGAATGAAAGGGATAGAGAAATGCAACACAAATTTCACTGCAGTGGAACTCTACGGTATTAAATATAATTCATAGTAGCTACGCGCGGCTGAAAATTTAATTTATATTTCGTATAATACTGATGCATGCGGTAGATCATTTTAATTATTAATTAATTTTATAACAAAGATTAAATGTTACTAACATATATGTTGTAGTTAACGTAATGTTTCAGTGCTAAACAATGATATAAATACATTCGTCTAAAAACGACTTTCCTAACATATTAGTTAAGTTTTGGATAGATACTAGTTTAACAATTAGTTTATTTAGTTAACTAAATAGACTGACACGTCGACCACTCGTCATGCACCCGTGTTTATGTGAGAGTGTATGCGTGTGATGAATGTGTGTGTCTGTGTGACTGTGTAGTGTTCTAGGGAATATTAAGGAGGTCACCTACAAGACTTTATTATGATTTTTCTATTCAGGAAATAATAAGGAATAAGGAAATAACATAATAAGAAGTAATAGCCAACTATTGTGGTTATGAGGGACATAGCAACAATACATCAGAGACGGCAGCGCCCCCTGCCTACAAATAGCCGACATCACTCATACTCGACCCCTGGAATAACTCGTTAACGATGTCATTTAGGGTAATAGATAACACCATGACTATACCATATCTAATGTTGAATCTGCCTTAACTTAACACGTTCACTGCAACACTTCGACTAGAAAGTTTTAAGGAAAAAATTGAAGTGGCATCTAACGTGTTAACGTAATTTAAAACTGTATTAATGATAGTAAGTAAAAGTTAATATAGCATTTCTGATATACTTGTTGTCGCCCGCTACTTGGTCCGTGCGGAACTCAAATAATTCTCCGTTTCAGAGATACATTGTATCAAACATCCATCCATCCAAACTTTCCCATTTATAGATAATATTAGTAAGTATTTGTCAGCGTGATGCCTTACCTAATCTGTAATAAGTGACATAGTTTGAATAATTGAATTCTGTTGGAAGGATATGATATTAGTCATTCTTAAAAGGCAACGTAATACTATGAATTATAGTATTAGGGATATTATTATTTGTTTTATTTTTTTAAGCAACGATATGATACACTTTATCCTTTCAAAGCGCCATAAAAAGAATAAAAATTAAGCGGAACAAAATAACGTTAGCTACAATTTATAATTTATGTTTCCCCATGGCAGAAAAAGTTTTTCCATAGCAGGCGTATGCAAAATGTTTTCAGACTCCCAACATAAAACGTTGCATTAAATTTTCTAAACGGCGGCTTAACATCGTGAATTTGAAAGCGGGGAGTTTCTTTTCCTTCTTGTCTGCACAGTTTAACGATGATTGCCATATTTTTTCCTCAATTTGGAACAACAAAGTTGATAAAATGCAAAAAAACGTTTTCTAATTTCAAAATTTTACGTTAATATCTTATAAAGAATTGCCCGCGACTCCATCGGCACGTAATTAAAAAATAATAATTAGTAGCCTATGTGTTCTTCCAGACTATATTCTATATATGCAAAATTTCATCGCGATCCGTTCAGCCGTTCAGAAAATAACTTAAAACAAACATCCATCCATCTAAATGTGAATGTATTTATAATATTACTAAGATTTTATCTACGTCAAATAATGCAATGTGTTAGTTTAACAGTGGCTTTCTAACTTTAGAATCTCCGTTTAAATCATATTATTTCTGTGTTGTCAAAGATAATTACGATATCTTTTATACAGAGATTTTGGACTCGGAAATCCACGGTAAATCTATCAATTTTACTTTACTCGGATTTGCAGTTTGGTATCCGACAATTTAGGCAACGACCTAAATGTCTTGAATAAATGCATAGAGATTGTATGCATTATGCATTCTCCACAAGCCGTGCGCTTTACCAATAACATTAAGTCACAAATTCCGAAATCAATTATTTAAAGACAATAATTATAATTTATATTTAAGAAATAAATAAATCAAAATTAAACAATAAAAAAAATTACAAATAAAAAATAAAAAGCTAAGTGTTAACGACAAAAAAATGATAGATCGACTGTTGCGTTTGACGTTCAATTAAACTGGAATCAACCGCCATCTTGGAATTAAATGAATTTATAAAAAGAACAATTAAAGAGCGGCTTCTGTTTCTGATTAGAATAAAATTAATTAACATTTTAAAAGTCTGCTATTATTAGACTAATGGAATTTTAAATTGCATTAATGTAAAATTATATCATTGTCAGGCTAAATTTGTGTTAAAGAGTCATTGTAGGTTACCATTTTTTTTTATATTTTGGATGCTCGGCACCTATTTAACCAACCTTTGCCTAAGTCAGAAAAATAAATGCAATGCAGTTTTTTTAATTGTGACTATGTTTATTGCAGCAATTTATCAAGTTTCCGTAGTGTAGCGGTTATCACGTGTGCTTCACACGCACAAGGCCCCCGGTTCGATCCCGGGCGGAAACATTTCTTTTTGTCATTAGCCAGATTAATTTTTATCAGTTTCCTAAAATGTTTAACTGATTATACATAAAAAGGTAGGAAAAAGAGAATATTTTTTTACTTTTAAAATACGTTTATTCGTAATCAGCCACATTTTGATGTAATAAAATGAAACACGTAATAAGAAGAAATATTTTTAATGACAAACTTAACATTCAACACTTAATATACACTAATATAATACAAAAACATACAAAAGATATCATTTACATTTTTTATTCAATAAAATTGATTTTTGTCAGATTGTCCGAGTGCGATACTTATGCGATTTACTAAGTTGTGTGAAAGAGATAACGCTCTACAAATCCAACGCGAAATTTAGAAAAGTTGACTTATTGACTTACTCGTAAATTATTAACTGTTACAATGAAAATATGATATTTGAAAACAAAAAAACTACTTGTTTAGGATGTAATTAAAAGCAATTCGCAAAGGGCTATTTTATTAATACAATTCTAATACAATTCTATTTATACAACTAATAACACTTTTTACTTTTTTTTTTATATTATAAGGTGGCAAGCGAGCGAGCGGCCACCTGAAATCGCTGAAATAGCGAAGTGACCGTTGCCCATAGACATACGCAATTGCATATGCGTTGCCTACCTTTAATCGACGGAGGAGAAGATGCACAGAAAGAAAATATTTTCCCTTTCAATGCATCCTCTCATCCGGAAAGTCCACTTCCACTTCCCATCCTTTCCTTATGAGAAAGGGGTGGGAAGGGAAAGAGGACTAAATTACTCACGATTTATTACACGATTTATTATCATAAAATGTCAAATTTATAAACTAAGGTCGAGAAGTAAAATTTAAATTATTCCTTTCTTCCTATCTTACAATTCAAAATAGAATTATTCAATGTGACATTTTTTAAGAGATTTGACTAAGCCAATTTTATCTTAAAACAGTTTTTTTTTGTAAAAAAATCTATTATGCGTTTTTTTTTAATTGTCGAATGTTATATTCAATAAGATATATAATCACTCTTTATTTCATTATGCTATGATATTATAAACAGATAGTCAATTTAACCGGTTTGTTATTTACCTAGGCAAATTGTAAACATTCCATAAATAGAAATATAGTCTCCATGCGATGTACTTTAGTTTAGTCTAAGATTTGTTTAGGCGATTTACAAACTGTCGATGTTCACAATTTGCCGGTGACTTATTGAAGTGTGCAGTCAGTGTATCTCGGGTGTGACAGTGAGGGACATCTTCTTGTGTCCTCGCACCACCTCCAGCTCGAGCCGGCCGTGAGTACTCTCCAGTAGAGAGTAGATGTCTGTCGCGCTGTTACAAAATATACAATTAAATTGATAATTTGCCAGGTAATCTGACAGGTAAGCTGTGTGTTACCATTTCCAAAAAAAATGTTTTTTTTTTAAATTTAATGTACAAAAGATATATGATTTCCAGAACAACTAGAAACAATAAAGAATACAAAACTCATAATTTGTTTGACAAATTTATCTGACAAGTTGGATGTGCACTATAAGAAAAAAAGAAAGAAAGATTTTTGGCAAAATTAAATTAATCCTGTGCCTCAACACGTAAAGTAATAGTATAATTAAAAAAAATAGAAAGAAAAAGTACAGACAAATATTTTCACCCTTCTCAATGTATGAAAAAACAAGGAGAACATATTTTAATGCAAGTATCACAAAAAAAACAATATCTTTAGTTCACATGTGATTGAAAAAATCTTACCTGTAGACTGGTTTCCCGTTGATATTTGTTATTATATCTCCAGGCTGTAATCCCCCACTGTTGAAATATTTAAAAATAATTACGATTAAATTGTGTATTTTGGGTTTTCAAAACTCGTTAAACTGTCATGGCGTCTTCTGTGACGTCACGCCATGTCATAGAGTAGGATCATATTTCTGTATGTTATTGTGCTACTGAATCTTGGATTGAACTACTGAATTCTAAATTATGAAAATATTAACAAACAAAATGGCGCCGTCCACGTGACTTGACCGAATGTCAAATTTAGACTATTTTAAATTCTAAAAATATTATTAATCTATAATTTTGATATATTTCATTGATTTTTGTTATCTTTATCACCAGAAACTGAATGTCTTCCTTCATTCACTTGTACATTAGCCAATTACGTCATTAATCTAATGTCATATCAACTTACTTGTATGCCGGAGAACCAATGATAACCTTCCACACCAGGATACCATGTTTGATGTCTGATGGCATCTGATCACAACAAAATTCATATCAGAAACAAAGGTATAAGGAGACCCTATATTAGGATACATGACATTCAATAATTTATGTTATTTTCTTTACTTTTATAATATTTTAAGACCTCATTTCTACTTAAACAGAATGTGTTGAAAGTTCAACCAACAAGAAATAATCTGGATAAATTCGTTTTTTTGCTCAGTGTCAGTATTTCAATGTTGACTTTCTCACTAAATTTACACAAAGCGACCTGGAATCATAAGGTGGCTAACAAGCAACTGGCTACCTGAATACACCAAAATAGCAAGTGACCGCTACCTACAGACATAAAATAAATAGATGGACCTTTGACAAAGGAGAGAATACACTCAAACGAGGATAATTCTTCTTCCTATGTCCCCTCCTCCGTCAAATCCCCTTCCCATTGTTTCCTAAAGTGTTATTTTATTAAAACAAATTGATTGATTACCTCTGGATTTCTCATCCTCAACTCGATCAGTATGTGTGGAGTGAGGGAGAGCATTGTAATGCCGAGGTACCGCTTCGACACCGGTGGGGACTTGCTGCGACCTAACATTACAAATGTTATGTTGATGAAAATTGTTACAATGTCTTTGGAAGACAATTTAAAACTTAAGGCGAAAACTAATGTAAAAAAAGATAGTATGTAAGACTAGCTTTTACTTGCGACTTTGCTTGTACGTGATTATTAAAATACTATTAGTAACAAATGTGTTCTTCCAGACTATGTTCTACATGAATGCTATGTTACAGCAAAATCCATGCAGCTGTTCAGGAGATACCTACAAACAAACATCCATCCATCCATCAAAACATTCACATTTATAATAATTACTAAAATAAATGATATTGTACAATATTATTTCTGTACTATCAATAGTCTAATTTTGACCTTTGACCTTTTGCAAATTTGTATGTTTATCTAAAACAATTTTTTTTAATTATCATATACATACTCTTAGCTAGAAAGTCCTTAACATAGTCAATAGGTATAGCAAATGATATCCCCGACATCACTTTCATACTGTTCACTCCGATTGCCTCTCCGTCCAAGTTGACTAGTGGTCCTCCACTGTTGCCAAATGTGATTGGTGCGTCTGTCTGTATGTATACCATGTCTTTACCTGTAAATAAAAAATAAAAAGTAATGTCTACAATTCACTCCAGATTTCATGTAGTTTAATGATGAGTTTGATCGGAAATTCTTCCTTTGGTGGTTAAAAACTTTATATCAAAACTTACAATATAAATAATGTAATGCTGGTTATGTACCGAATCACTGACTCTAAAAATGGACTGGCTATAAGATGTAGTATTCTGTGCCTATTTGATTTTCACCATTTTGGCGCTGATTTAACTGTTGTGTATCAACATCAGGCATGTTTAAATCAGAATGAAGCAATAGCTGTTATTTTCAAGCAATCACCTATCCATTTAGTTTAGTGTACAGAATTTGACATTCATTCGTTAACTTAATTTGGTATTGGATTGATGAGAAATATACTACTAGTTAGTAGTTAAACATACCTCTCAATCCAAGCTCCTCACTAGCTCTCTGTGCAGAACTGACTACCCCGGCTGTGACTGTGTTACTTAAAGCTAAAGGACTACCCATAGCCACTACCTGAAATGTAAAAAAATGTTTTCAAAGGAGGAATTATATGATTGTTTGCATTAGATATACTTTGAAACTAATGAACTGATTTGAAAAATTCTTTCACTTTTGGGGTGTGTTGCATCCCTGGGTGACATAGGTTATATTCATTCCTAGATTTCTTAATATCACACAAAGTCACAGGCAACTACTATTCGACCTAATAGATAGAAGATAGTGGGTTCAAAGAAAATGATAAAAATAATTATTAATATAATTACTGGACATGTCAATTTTAATACTGAAGTGATTTTATTGACTACATAGTTCTATCTTACCCATTCTCCTGGTCTAATATCAGCTGAAGAGCCAAGCTTCATTGTGGGCAGATTTTTGACTGGGATGCGGAGTGTTGCTAAATCTGACTTTAAATCTACATCTTCAACAATACCCTTGTGTGTTGAACCATCCTGAAATATTGTGAAACATTGATACTGTAAGTTGGAATTCTGCATTTGACCTAATAATTTACCATAACAATATAAATATGTAGAATGTAGTAATGTATTAATCTTTAATATTGTGCTTTTTATATTTGCAAATTACTAAATTTTGTATAGATGACGCAATTTAGCTGTAACATAATCTTATCAAGCCCAAGATATGTTTCGTAAATAACATCAAAATGTTTAATACTGTTGTTATTCTCTCATAAAAATTAAAATATATTTGTATATTGATAGAAGGATGATGAAACAAAATAAAAAATAACAATAATAATGAGTTAACTTACGAGTAATTTTACTTCTACTATCGCGTTAGGCTTGTTGACAACGACATGAGCATTCGTAAGTATCAACCCATCTTCCTTCACCACAAATCCTGAACCATTGGACAGTGTTATCGGATTGCCGGTATATAAGTCCAGTCTTCTCCCATCTTTGATCTCTATATACACAACAGATGGAGCAGAAACAGCTACAACGTCCGCTATAAAGTTATATTTCTCTCTTCTACCTTTTAAACTATCATTCACTATACTAGCAGCTGATACTTTCTCCTTTATACTCACGTAACCTATAACACCGGCTGCCGCCAGTATAATACTGTTAAAAATATAACTATTGTCTTTATCACTTTTTCGTTGCTTATAAGTAGTAATTGCACGATATGAACATCTATAATTAATATTTAAAATTGGTTTTTTATTCAAAAATTTGAGAAGAGACCGAACCATTGACATTTTGATAGTGACATTGATTTGATATTGATACGATTGACATTGACAGTTTAGTATTTGAGTGACTTTAATTTGAAAATGTTGCAACAAACAAAATTGAAAACAGCAGGAAAACATATAGTAGGACTATTAAAACATCGATCACAATCGAATAATCACACTCTATGTTATCAAATAAGCTGATTCATATTAATTGTTAACAACGTTCGGTAAAAATGTTACGTGAATACGTGTTAGTGTTCATTTTTCTTTTTTTATTATAAACATTTCCTGAAAAATATGTAATTTTGCAAAAATTCTTGCAACATTACGTTATAGGACAGATAACACAAATATAACGATTAACGAATAGCATAATAACTATTGCACAACTGCTAAACAAATCTCGTTATTTTCTATTTTGATGTATGGCAAATATTCGCTCTAAAATGTTTTTGTAAATACATAACATTCATCTCGAATCATAAGAATTCTAAAATAAAACAAACTGAAATTAGATAATTGTATATTTTAATAATTTGTTAACAATTAAAACAAAGTGATTAATATATTGCTAAAAAAATTTACACAATAAAAATGTTTCTAAGGCTAAGGCCTAAATTTTAAGGGCTAAATTTTATGTTAACTAACAAGTAACAACTTGAATATAACTATGCTTATATATGTTCACTTAATATATATATAAGAAATGACTGTTGAATATTGTTATATACTTTATTTTAAACGTTTATAATATTGTTAGGAAGAAAATCCGGAAATGAGCCAGTGTATTGACTCAACACTAGCCTTACGAAAATGAGACGTTTGTCCCCTCGCTAGTCATTCTGACACTAGACTTGGTAACGAAAGCACGTCATTCGCGACACAGGATTGTAATTAATAACGTCTAAAAATATAAAACACTATATAATCTCGTATTATATGTTTCTGAATAATGTAATGTTTCACAGCCAAGTGTTTTACATAAGTGTAAAAAGAAAAACGAGTAGAAAATGTTGAGATATTTTTCGCCTTTTTATATTTTTAAATTCATATGAAAGCATATAACAATATTCTTATTAAATAATACATTTAGGAACTATGTGTATACAAGAAAAAATAACTAAATTATTGACTATTCAACTATTTCAATAAGATATTACATAAATAAGAAGATTTTATATTAAAAAAATAATAAGCAAAATACTAAAAATAATCGAATGGTTAAAAAAAATCGGAAATGTTATTCTTAATATAAATATAATAATCTTCTCTAGTTTCACAGTTTCAGTTTTTTTCACTTTGGTATAAAATATTATTACTTCAGATCTGAAATTTCACATTTTCTACTCCAAAAGTATTTAATATAAAAAATAATTACAATTCATATCTAAAATTAATATAAAAATTTCCAATGTAATTTCAAAATGTATTCAGATCTATATATAATATAGGCAAGAAGATATATAAATTATCAAACAGATGTTATAAATACTAAATAATAATGATAAGCTGTCGCTACACAGTTGGATTAAGGGCCCGATACAAAACGCAGTTATCCTAGAAACCGCGCGTATCGTGAGAAGGTTCCTGTCTCTGCAGCCCTCACCACTGGTTGTTTGAGTCATGGGATTCCGCAGCCGGTGGTGTTCTCTTTTTAATATAATATGTTTTGTATATGCATATTTTTTTGGATACGAAATATAGTATATTAAAAATATGATAAATAAATGTATAGAGATGATAATACACTGGTTTTCATATTAATAAATATACATATTTGACATTGTTGATAAAAGTAAAATAGTTTTGGACTTGATGTCTCGTTTACATTATGCCAGTACAGTAGGACAATATCACAGTAGGACAATAGCGTTCAAAATCAGCGCTGGAATACAACCGGCATAAAATGCCAGTGAGCCAAAACATTCCATGCCACGCCAGCGACACTGCTGTCTTGTACTGGAATACTGTAATCCAGGCATTATTCTTTAAATATATGAATTTTAACAATATAAATGTTTAATTTTAATATTTAGCAAAATACAAAGATATCATATTGACTTCAAATGTAACACTAATAACTTTTATTGTAACATTGTTTCTGATATGTAGTAAACTAAATTATCACCTTAAATCTAATGACGAAACTATTACAAAGTGTTTTTTGACCTTTTTTACTTAAATCGTTCGAAAAAACCAGCTGCCCTTTAGCAAACTTTGAGCAATCGAGACATTTGCAATGACATGTTTCACTGTGTTACAAAGACAAAGCAAAATAATGGATTTAACACAAGGATGGAAATGTTCTCATAACTTTATTTCATATTGATTCAATCAGATATGTATTATGTTTCAAATGTTACTATTCCCTGTAACGTCACATTTGACTATTACTGTACTAAATAACACTTTAGTACATACTACCTACAGTTTATATGTTACTTTATCATGTAACATTACTTTACTTTGTAACATGAAAATTAATGTTACAAAAAGAGTTACATTAACTCCAGTTACTCCAATCGTCACATCCACATCCTTGGTAACCGTTTTCGATCTTGCCGTTAATTTTAGAGTTACCGTTCACGTTACCGTTGAGCATCTCGGAGGGTCGGTAGGTGTAGAAGACTTCGCAGAACGCGGAGTCATCTCTCGGCAGGTCGTAGTCAACGTGTTTAGCTGCAAGCCACGCCGCGCCCATCGCGCTCGATACACGCAAACGGACTAATTCCAGTTCCGTTTTTACCTGGAATTTAGATAAATACTTATGAATATTTGATTTGCAGAAGATTTCCAATTCCATTTTATCTTTTACTGTAACATTTAGTTATTATACGAATAAGAGGCTTAAATAGAATAATTATTATTATTGTAACAAATGTGAGAAGATATTGTACGGGTCGTAGTATTTAATTTAAACGTTAGAAGGGTGACCTTCCTGTGCGCGAGCTGGTTGAGCAGGCCGGGTCTGAGCGCGAGCCAGCTGTGCCACACGGAGCCGACGCAGACGACGCGCAGGCAGGTGGGCGGGGAGGTGGGCGGGGAGGTGGGCGTGCAGGTGGGCGGGGCGTCGCGCGCACACAGCGCGGCCATGTGCGCGCCCAGCGCCGCCCCGCCCGCCGCCAGCAGGTGCGCGCTCAGCGGGTCACCCTCGCGCGCCAGCTGGGACACCTTCGCCGTCAGACCTTCAAATATTCAATACCAATATTTAAAAAACGTTACAGAAATTATGAATGCGAATGTGAAGATATCTTCAGAACGGCTGCAAAGATCTCGGTGAAATTTGGCACAGATGTGGAACAAAGTCTGGAAGAACACTTAAGCTACTAATCAATATACGTATAATTCGATTTATATTACTTCAAAAAGCCAAATACCAAAATAAGTCAATACTTGGTTTGTTTAGCAATTGAGTTTAGATTTCTCTTACAAAAAAGGTAAGGACAAGACATATTTAGCAGTAATACTTGTACAATAGCTTACCGGCGAAGTGTGACTTGTCGAAATGTTTATAGGAATGCGGCAGTAGATCTGCCCTGGAGTCTGCATTGAAGTGTTCCCGGATGAGTTCCCAGACGCGGTGTGTGGGGTGCGGGGCGGCGCGCAGCCCGTCCACATCGTCAAACACTGTCTTCACCGCGCGGTATGCTATCCAGTATGCTGGGGAAATGTACGCAATCATTACGGAAATTAGAATAAGCAAATCTTAACATAAATGTAGTATAAACAGTAATCAACCAATGCGTTAAAATAATTTCATTGTATGTCATCGTTAAAATAATAAACTTAGCCACAATGTTGCCATTTTTGCAGTATATACAAAGTGTTGCCATATCTATTTCACCTTTTTAAATTAATGCTTTCTACGTGACATTTAGTAACAAAACATGATATTTTCTAGAAATTTAATACGGTAATAATGATATATTGTTACAGATATTGTTTAGAAAAGATATGTCACGTTTAATGTTGCAAGTAATTGTTAAGTGACAGTTAAGTTCATGGCCTACATAAATATTAAAAACTTTACTTTATTACTAATAAAAGTTATTTTTTTTAACTTTGTTGTAAAACAATACTAAGCAAAATCAATTCTTTGGTACATCACAATCTTTAGTTTATTTAGTAAAAGACGACAATTATAACCTTACCTCCTCCTTCGTCACCTAAAAGATACCCCCACCCCCCACATCCATGTTGTTTTCCATCAGGAGTACGTAACAACGCGTTGGAACCAGTCCCTGAAATAAAGATTAGTTTGAACTAAAACATATCAAAGATAAATAATTATTTAAAAAAAAAAACAAATTACCATGTACCCCTAATATACTCTATTGAAGAAAACTAATAATAATTTTTATATTCATCCTTAACTTAGGGTAGGCTCCGAGTCCCTCGGTGGGGACGTATAATGAGCTGATGATGATGATGATGATGATATTTTTATGTATTTTTGCATCATACAAATAGTTAATATATCAATAAAGATTATTGCAAACATATCTTGTAAGTAATAAATGCAGTAAAATTATCTAAATACAAGAACAAAAGACTAAGCTTGGTAAAGTGCGCAAATATGTCGGCTATAATAGGGTGACCATAAAAACAACACACAAGCATTCCTAGTTCCATAAAGATATAAATTCCATTTGTCCTGAATTACGTCAATAAATTATGGTTATAGTAATAGAGAATTGTAAAGTTCGCTTATAAATAGTATCTTTGTGCTTGTTTATGTAAGAGGCATTATATAAATTGCATCAGTTTTATCATGTAAATATATATGTGTACATAAGGATAAATTATATATTGTAACACTGGTTGAAAGCATAGTGTATTTCCGTAGAAATAGATATTTTGACTTCGGAATTATAAAAACAACAAAAACATGGACTTTAAATTTTAGACTACATGTCTGTTTATCTGTTTTCACTGACTAAAAACTTGTCCGAAATCATATCGAGATAGACTATGACCATATGTTTTATACATGTATTTCTACTGTGGAAACCGTAGTAAAAAATCTTCATCTATCAATTACTTTCAATATACTTTGAGAGAAACCCTTGAAAATTAAGAAAAATCATTATTTTAATATGGTAAGTAATACTGCCTTTAACTTGAGTAGTAATCGATTTAGTTATCAATGTCTCGTTAATGATTAATCGATTAAAAAATCGATGTTAATCAGTCAGCTGCGACATTGAATAACAATTATTTCCGATTCACATCGGCGGGCGACCTCTATTTATTAACAGGTTTTTTTTGTCAGAATAAATGTACGTTTAGATAAACACAAACCAGTAATGTGTTTTAATAGATTTTATCACCAGTATCGTCTTAAAATTACATAACGCGAAATTCCTCAAAATTCCGACCAACACTTGATTTTTATTTTACGATCTTTGTATAATAATTGAGTTAGTAGTCTTCACGCTATTTCAGATTGTAATCTGTTCCATTCAGCTGTCAAGTAATTAGATACATCCATACATCCATCCGTTTAAATTTACTTATAATAAAACTAGTTGCCGCCCGCGGTTCCGTCGCGAAATAAGAAAATAGTAACTTATGTGTTCTTTCAGACTGTTATATATCTATGCAAATTTAACTACATATCCATGCGTCCGTTTTGGAGATATGTTCTAGCAAACATCCATCCATCTATCCATACATCCATTCATTCGCAGTTATAATATTAGTAGGAAGGTGTATATAATTACTAAACTTAAAAAATAGCGCATGTTTTATTACTTTTTATTCTAAAACATACAAACAATTTAATGATTTTATATAGTTACAGTTTTGTTAGCGTCTGTACTCGCTTAATTGTTTTTGTATTGTAACACTTCTGTTTGCGATAGTACATTTAGAAACATTTAGAACTGCGCTCGAGTAACATTCAGAGGTACTTGCCCTGAAACTAGGTCGGCGAAATTTTTAAAACCTACTTATCTAGACAATATAAATTAAAAGATAACCTAAATATTTTATAAATTATTCTTACTAATATTAGAAATGAGAATGTTTGGATAAATGGATGGATGTTTGTTAGAAGGTATTACGACAACGGTTGAACAAATCTCGTTGGAATTTGGCATAGATGTAGAGCATAGTCTGGAAGAACACATAAGTTACTAATATGTTTTTTTTGTACGCGCGGATTTAATTTGGTGTAGTGAGATTTGCAGTGATTGTCTGTTTTATTATAAACTAGCTATCGCCCGTGACTTAAAAAACTTAAGAAGGAGCCTATGTGTTCTTTCAAACTATTATTTGTATGCCAAATTTAATCGAGATCCGTTGAGCCGTTATGGAGATACCTTCAAACAAACATCAATCCATTTAAACTTGTGCATTTATAATATTAGTAAAATAACGTAAGGGATGTCAAAATATATCGTCATCACTCTCTTACTTCATAAAAAAAAAGAGATAGCAATAAGCTTCTAGGTGTGTTTCGGCACTAAAAACTAGTAAAAATATAAACGATTCGCAGTTGTTATTGAGAGAAGCAAAACAAATACTTAATAGGGACGCGCTTGGAAACTGGGTCGACTGATAGCCCCCCAACCCTTGACCTTCCTCTGGTCATTGAAACTTCAACCGTCTTTGTAAATAAATACATACGATACAAGAGTTTTCTGATTTATTTTAATTTTAGAAATCATAGTTTGGTGGCTACGATGTTTTGCCACAAAACTTGATGACTCTAAATTTATTTGACTCGTAAAGAAAAGATAATTGTCGACTTTTTAAGTCATTTTTCGGTTACCGGAAGGAAATGTACTTTTATTTTATTTTGGTTTTTAACTTATTGTGTCAATAATCCGACCTTTCCTCCGATATTATCGTTTCGGAAATACATTAAGCGAAAAAAGGACAAATTATTTTTTAGATTCAAGACCAAGGTTACAGGAATTAATTTTGTGCAGTAAAGGATTTCGAGACAACAGAATTGAGGAAAAAAAGGGTATTGCCAGACAGACGGACAACACAGTGATCCTATAAGCATTCCAATGTTTTTCCTTTCGAGGTACGGAGCCCTAAAACTTCAAATAGATTTGTAATTAGTTAAACTAAGATAAATTAATGTTTATTTCTGAGACTAAAATTATTATCTTTGATGAAACAGATAATACTTTTTTAAAAGGAATTTTTGTCTCAGAAACCCACAGTTAGTCCGCTCTGAAATTCCTTAAACATATAGGGTTAACAATAGATTCAATTCCCACCAGCAATGAGTACCATGCCACCAGAGGGCGCCCCAGTGAAGAGCGAGCCGGCGGTGTCTGACGCGACGTACACCTTGCGAGCGCTACACTTGTCTCCCTCTAACACACGCGCAGCCAGCTCCGCGTTGCTGCTGTCCTGCTCGCACCCAGACAGCGTCAGACCCTGGACAATTGATCGTAATGGAGGTTAATTTGCTGGTCGAAGCTTTGTTAGTATGAATTGGCTGCTTATTTAGATGATAAAGATCTATATGTAGACAGAAACATTCGTTCGAATACAGAAATATTTTGCTATGATAATTTATTTCCTAGTAAAGCTTCAATATGACAGATGTCATAATCAGTTTGAAAAGGAAGTGACAATCGCATGTCATATTACGTTAACGTTACTCGATTGTCAAAAAAAATTAAAGAGTTACAAACGGATAGATAAGATAAAAAAATCGTTACTATTCTGTCGACGTTCTTTAAATGGGTACAATAGATATGGTCATTACGATTTAGTACAGTCGAGTCAAATAACACAGTCAGTGTCAACTCTGAGTGTTCTCTCTACTCTGTGTCACTTTCATTAGTCTACTTACGAGTGAATCCAAAGGCGTATCAATAGGTATGCCTGCATCTTGTTTGGCAGCATGGAGCATAGCGATGATGCGTGTCGCGCACTTTTCTATACCCAAAGCCCAGTGATTGGTGCCGGGTCCCTTCGCTTGTCCTACCACCTTGCCCATCTCGTCACAGATCACCAGGTTTGAATGTGTCGCACCCCTGCGAAAGTTAACATTAGCCTCATAATTTTGTTTAAGTAGACAACATACATAGGATAGAATAAAATGGTCTGGTCTAAAATATTATAGTTTAAACTGGCTGTCTCCCGCGACTTCGTCCGCGCGAAATTAAAAAAGAAAACTTTATTAGTAGTCTCTGCGATCTTCCAGACCATGTTATATGTGTGATATAAGTACACCAAATTTCAGCAAGATCCGTGCAGCCGTTTTGGTGATACCTTCTAACAAACATCCATCCATCCAAACTTTCACATTAACAATATTAGTATGGTTGCTGTTTATATAGATTACAATTTTAAAATAGTTAAATCTAAACTAAGGAAACGTATAGGTTACCAATAAATGGCTGTGTTTTCTCTTAAAAGACTCTTTAAAACCAATTACATATATTCTTAAGTAATCAGCTTTGAATTCTTGAGCTAAAAAGGTGCTACATCCATAAAGCGTGTTTACCAAACATGGCTGACGGCAGGAGGCCAAGTTCATGAGAAAACTGACAAAGAATAAATACAGATATGTTATCGATATTACTCGATATCAAGTCTATTACGTCGCGTCGCGGCTATCTCATTATAGTCGTTATCAATTGATGGATTTTTGGTCGTATTAATGTTTATAATCCAGATTTTTATCATCGTACTATGACGTCTCTAGTATCAATACACGAACACACTTATCTGCTTTACGAGACATTCTAATTTCGATAAGACTGCGACAATATTTTTTAAACAAACGAGACATTGACTCGTCTTAACCTGATATTCTGATTTTTTTTTCTCGCAGATTATCACTGAATGTGTTATAATGTTCCTTCATCACTAGAACCCTTATTGCCTTTGGGAGTCACTGGTCAAGAGAAACAAACCCAGTTAATTGACAATGAAACATACACAAAAACATGTTGCCATTTTGTTCCAGATTATTCCAGCAATGTGGACTCACGATATCACAAATCTTAATAGACCATGACTAGACTATAGTCCACAACCACGCTGGCACATTGCGGGTTGACTTCGCACATATCTTCATATTCCTTCGCAGATATGTGCTCGTTGCACGATGTTTTCCTTCACCGTAAGAACGTCGGATAAATGTAGGTATGTAAATAGAAAAACACATAGGTACACACCGGGATTTAAACCCATGACCTGCAGTTTATAAATCAAGTGCTTAACCCCTGAACCACCGGCGTTCGTGTTTCTATGCTATATACCAATTAATCGTACGATATAAGAAATGAAAACCCTCCTTATCTTTTCGTGAAACGCTTACAGTTAAGGGAAATAACCTTATGAAATAAGTCAAGTGACAAAGATACGTTTGATAAATGACTGCAGTTTCCTGGTGTTATTTAATTTTAATTCTATTTATTCTATTCATTTACTATTCTGTACGTTTTAAAGTGAAAACCCCTATTTTACTGTATAATTCTACTGAAGCAGAACAACTATTAAAATCATATTGACATCCCTTTCACTCTCTTTCAAATAAACAGAGATAAACAACATATTTTGTTATATTTTTACGACAGTGGAATTTATAGTGGGGTTCTTATCAGACCTATTTTTAATTTAGATATTAAACAGACATATACAATCATAAACATTTGAAGTGTTTATTTACTATACGTAGTTAACATATGTATTACATTTATAGTGGGTTTCTGGAACTTAAGTTTCTGTATAAAACATATCATATTGCTTGGGAAGCATTGACGAAACGGAGATAACAATGTGTTTTAACCGGGGATTTTGATCTCGGAAACCCACGGCTAGGCGATAGTTGTGATACGTAAAGGTTATTTGTACACTTTACTAAGTATGTGGTGAATAACCTAAGTACGTGATTCGTGTAGATATAGACAATAAAAGGTTCGATGAACTCTATGCTTTTGAATGTTAGGAGCTTTCTAAAAAAACATTTTTTAATGAAATTCCAAGTCTCTAAGGTATTTTTCTTTGCAGAGAAATTATACACTAGGTTAACAAACTTAACCCTTAATTAGACGAAATTTTTTGTAGCAAAAATATTGTTTTTTTTTAGTAGTCATACTTACGTAATTTTCTCTAATCTAGTTCAGTAGATTTTTTAATTGAGTTATTTTAATAAATGGTTTAGAATTTCTGAAGTTGAACGATTAAACGTTTTGCCATTTATGTCGTAAAAAAATAAATAGGCGTGGTTGTTAGAGTACAATCATTGGCATTTAAGTAAAGGTCAAATAAATAAAGCACGATTGCTTAGTTTATGCCGCGGCGATGCTTGGTGTGTATAAAAATTTATACTAAAGTTAATAGAGAAACTATTATAACTTCTGAAAATTTGAAAAACTTGGAAGTGATGTGTGAAGTGTTACTAAGTATTGTAAACAATTTTTTATACTTATAATATTTTATGTGTCTGATTATGTAACGTAATATCTTAGTAAGGGTTTGAATTACAACCAAGAGGTTCGCACATATGTATTAAGTTAATTTAGTCAATAATGCGTAAAATGCTGGAAATTATCGCGACCTTCATTGTCAAGCTAGAAGATCAGTTGAACCTTAAATAAAATTGATTTCGTTTTTTTACAATTTAGTTTTCTAAATAGTCCTATGATTTTTGCTCGGGATAGGAAGGTAGGCTGGTAAAAAATAATAAAAGTAAACAGACAAATACATCCATCTTTGATATAGAAAAGTAAATGTTACAATTCAAGGTCGTCAACCAATGCATGCCTTGCATACCGAAACATAATAAATATTAACTTCTGTCTTACCTCACTTGTTATAAAGTGCATTTTGATATTAAACACAATTGTCGGTGTGTCGACACACCTCGCCGTTTTATCCTCTGATTGGCGGGCTCAAACAATATGGAACATGAACCCAAACTATATTAAATTATTAATGTTTACTTTTGCAAAAACATAATATATCTATTAAAATTATTTTAACCTACAACATAAATCATTCTCGCTCAAATATCGTTTCGTAAGTTTTAGTCATGTCCAAGGTAAGCCTTTCTACTTTCAACAAAACTACAAATGCATACACGTGTAATAGCAGTTATTCTAATGTAACTTACCCTTCAACACCGCCGAAATACATTTTACCGCTCATATTGGGATTTGTTTACAAGCGGAAAAGCGTGGGCGGTAACACTGTTATAATACACACACGACTCGTCGGAGTTTCTGATAAGATAACAAATTAAACTCGACGACAAAGTACAAACATACGCCACGAACGCAACCGCTTGACTGAATTGACAGATGAGAAAATGTTTCGTTTTGTTTACTTTGACAGTGACATTAAAATGCCGCGCCTCCATGTGTCAAGTGCGAAACGTTATAACGTTGCGCTACAACCGTTTTAGCTTTAATAAAGTAGTTATAACGATTAAAATAAAATATCTTATCTCGTTATTTATTGACATCTATTCTTAATAAATGTTATCCCACGTTATTTATTGGTGTGTAAATTGAAAATGAAAGTAAATAATTGGGTCTATCTCTCGTAAATTTATAGCTTCCCTTTTATAAATCGTTTATTATTATTTTTTATCTGCAATTTGTAGTAAAATCGAATACTTGTTACATTATATTGCTACTTATGTAAGGTTGGTACAATTATAATAGTTCGATGTATAGAAAAATAAAACAAACACCACATAACATTTCTTATATACCACAATTTTTTTTATTATTTTTACAACATTGGACTAACTTACAACGTAACACCGAACACACAAGTAAGATTCTGAGGAACGTCGAAAAGGCGTTCACCACCTCTAGATTTATAGCGATTGTTCTTATTTAAAACGTCATTCTTTTGTTTTTACTCTTTGATACTCTATATTTATTCACTTTGGTTTTTACTATCTAAATATTTTGAAGTCAACCCAAAGTTTACCTTTATATGTTCATAATTGCTTCATTTGAATTTCATGTATTTTATTGTAAAAATTTTTTATATGTTGATGATTTTTCATTAACATTACATATAGATAGAATTTTAATAATATGTTTAGATTAAAGATATCATTTTATCTTTCGTTAAACAGAGGAATGATATGTCCCTTCAGTCTCATAAACCTTAATTTATAACTGCCAATTTACATAAAAAGTATGGACTTTTAGATAAATTTGACTAGAGTTTTCAAGTCTTAAATTCAATTTGTTATTTATTATTAATAATATAAATCAATAAGGTCTCATGATATAAAATCTAGAAGTGATGAACATGAAAAGTACAATATTAGCAACAGGTACATTTATCGTTTATAAAATACGAAATACTTGTGACTTTATACATTGCCTTAGCTTATTATTTACAAATATTTTTATTTTAAATCCTTTTATAATACAAATTTCATATACTGCTATTTATTTATAGAACGACAAAGTTATTTAATCCGGTAGACTAAAGTTAAACTAAATTATGACAAGTCACTAGCGCCACTTGTCAGTATCAAAAGAGTGTCACAAGATTCTTGTCGTACTGAAGCTGTCTTGATTTTTTTTTAATGTAATTTGTATACTTATGTAGATATCATGCATTATCTGACAGAAAAAAAACTGCGATAGTAGCGCCTCTCTTACCAGCTCGGATAAGCTTTGCACACCATTATGTCATAAATAATCTAGACTTTCAAATCAAATAAACTAATATAGAAAATTAGTTTTGCGTTATTATAGATGTAGTAAAATTATAGAATATATCAAAATCAGTTTTTAGTTATATTGGTTGCTATAAACATTGTTGATAATAGGTAGAATGTAACTTTAATGGCACAAAAAAATGAAAAAATCATTTCATCCTTTAAATAATTATTAAGTAAAAAAGCGTTTTTATAAGTAATTGACAGGACGAAATATTTGGCTACTCTGTTACCCATTTGAGATCTAGAAATTACCTAAGAATTTCAATTAAAAATAGGTTCCAAATTAGTTTCTATTAATTTATCTACTTACATGAATGTTTCGTATCGCTAATCTTTGGTAACAAAACTCATTCGTTAGACTAACTTCAATAAGAATTCTTAATGAAAAATGACTCTTAATAGATAGAAACTTATACATAAATCTAAAATACACAGATTATAATACATTGGATACAGTCTTTCAAAACAATAACTTAATGTTTTTTTTTATAAATCATGGTTTATATTTCAGTATAACGTTTTTTTAAATGTTGCCATATTCTTTAAAAAAAACGTAATAACAGTAATATTAAACTCAGGTAATATAATTCAACACGGATAAGTATGTTTAAACTTAACAATTACAAGAAGAAATATACATAAACTTATAAATTAATATTATACATTTTGTATTCTCATAATTTAAGCTATTTTTACATTTTATTCACATTTAGACACAACATTTACTTAAAAGTAAAACACTAGTCTTATACTGTAGTCCATTGCTAACAAGCGACTATGTCGTTTTATAATTTACATGATACGTATTTAACTAGACACATGCGACGGTCGACTGGAACTGAGCATTTTGCCGTCGCAAAGCTTGGCGTCACCTGAAATAAAGTAAATGTATAAATTACTTTTTAATCTTAATAACTCACTAAAAATAGACGATCTAAGGGTACTAAAATAATACTCATTCTGGAAGTTCTTCAAGTTATTTAAATTCTAAGGATTCCCATGAGTCTCGATGGCAAAGTTGACATTAGGAGCCACGCTGCTTGTATACCGTGTAAAGGTAAGTAAAATAGGATTTAGTCGATGAAATATTCAACGTATCTTGCAAACATACCTGGTGACATCACTCTGTGGTATCGAGTCGTTGTCCTCAAGCGAGTGCGAATGTTCCTGTGGAAGGCGCGGACGCCGAGCCTCACCGTCAGACTCCCGCCGCCCGCCGCCGCCACAGAAGCACTTGCAAATTATGCGCTTGAACGCGAATCTAAACGATAAATAAATATAAATCACTAAAATAATAAAAACCAACAAAAAACTGCTCAATTGATGCTACAAACAAGAACAGGAATGTTTATTTGAACCAAACTCAATTTTACACAGTGGCGCTAGTATCGCGTTTCATATAACGCTTTAAATTAATGAATAACGAAAAAATAACGATAGTTATAACCGCTATAGCAGAACAGTTTTTAGCTATGAACAATTATTAATAACGGTTTTACCTAAAGTCTTTGGAAAAGAGCGCGTAAATAAGTGGATTGATGGCGGAGTTGCAGTATCCCAGCCAGAAGAGCACGGAGAATACGATGGGGGTGACGCAGTGTGCGCAGAACGCACGCACCACGTACACGCTGAAAAATGGCAGCCAGCAGCAAACGAAGCCGCCAACTATAATGCCGAGTGTCTTTGCCGCTTTTGTCTCCATACGAAATCTCTTCACCTGGAATTGAAAATTTGATTATAGGTATTACAGTATAATACTATGTTTATGGAGATATAATATTAAATTTAACTCAACGTAAAAATGTCTAGTAAAGAATATTATGATTTTACGATTTATGTCGTTCGCATGTCAGAGAGGTTAAAACTCCTTTGACTTTTTACTCTTTTAACTTTTCTATGTACTTAAATGTCGATGGTTCAATTATTTTAAAATGTACAACCGTAAATTTATAGTAATTTTGTGTGTCCTTACTTGCGCTTTAATATTCCTCTTGCCCATCCGTCTCGTCCTCGGCTTATCATCAAACTCATCATAGAGAGGTCCGGGCGCCAGGTGGTGGGAGGGCCGGACTCTAAGCCTGCTCTCGGTGAGTTCCCGCCCGTCCCTTTCGTAGTGCACCGCGTACAGAGACGGACTGGGCGATCTACTAGGTGAGCGCGAGTTCTCATGTGCGGGACATATCTGCTCTGAAGATGGATATGATACAGAGATCTTTATCTTCTCGTGGGCACGACGTGCGCTGGAGTGTCTGGAAGAAAATACTTTTTATATGCATTTTGAAAAATATACCACGTCTACAGGACGTTTTTTTTACGACGAGCTTCTTTTTCATAACCTGTTTTTACCATTTATAAATTCAAAAGCAGGTCTAGGTACTATATCTGCACTAAGTGACATCCATAGTGTTCACTGACCCTCTTTAAGTGTAGTGAGTTTTCTAAGTCCCAAGTTACCTTCGCAATCTCTCAGGGGAGGCGCTGAGCGAGGTGCTAGTGGAGTGGTTAGATGCGGTAGACAGCGGTGAGCCGTGTGGCCTGGCCGAGCCCCTGCCGCGGTGAATGCGCAGCGTCAGTCGGTTGTCATCAAAACGGTTGCCTAGTCCTTTGCCTGGAATTCATAAAGGATACTCTAACTATAACTAAAGTTTTACGTTTTTTAATCTGTAATTCTTGTAATCTGAGTTCTTTTAAATGCATTAAGTTCCTGTTTAATACAAACTACTTGAAAAATTGTATGCATGTATGGAAATGGTCACCAAAAGAGCTGTTATTTCGAATATGTTGCTAAGATAGGGTTTCGACGTAATCGCATTGTAAACGTTCAGTGACATTTTATTGACGTGGAACAAATAAACATCCTCAAGTGTTCTTCCATTTATAGTGATACTATTTATAAAGACCCGTACATATCATGTGAATGCAGTATAAAGGGAAGTATTCACTTGAATGTAAAGTACGGCCAAATGTAATATTATTATGTTAGGGCGCGCACGACCCTTCGTAATTATCAATGGACAAAGGCGAGGTCGGCTTGTAAAATACAATGGCTCAAGTTCTTCAACAATTAAATATGTAGAGCGGAGTATTCTTAAAGGCACAGCCCTAGCTCGTTAAATGTTACGAGTATTAGGGCTGTTAAACCCTATTTTGTTGTTCGCTTGTTACGTTCATTTTTCAGATAATTGTTGCCGTTTCTTTTTCTTATTCCGGTATTTTCCGAAGTGAATAATAAATGTAATTTTTTATGTCGTGTCGTTATTTTTTATTTTATGTTTAAAGTAATAGGTAGGATGTTATTTAACGATATTCCTTGTCATAAAATCATACATGTATATTAGTATTTTTGGCTTCAATTTGCGACTTGTTCTGTGGACATATAATAAACCTACTAACTAACCTTTAGTAGTCCTGAATCCTTGGTTGATAGCCTTAGTAGTCCTAACTGCTGCTTTATATATCCTCCAGTAGAAGAAGAGCATAACCAACATGGGAATGTAGAAGGATCCCATGGCGGAGTACACCACGTAGCCGGCGTCGTTGGTTAACTCACAGGTCCATTTGCATGGTGGGTTGGGCGACCAGTCTTCCTTTAGCTCTGCGCCGGCGGGCTAGAATTATATGTTGCTGTGGCTTACGCACTCATAGTTATTAAATGGTTAGTAAAGGGATGCTTAAGTAGATTTTTAATAAATGTATGTTAAGGAATCTCTTAGTGGCCAATGATTGATTTAAAGTATCGCAGTTAATCTTTCTTTTCAATAGATGTTCTTGTTTTAAAAGACATTGGGTACCAAATTGTAGAATGAAAAACATAATTTTGACATTGCCAGTGTGGAGTTCTCGTGTATGTTAAGAAAGGTTAACTTAATTTGAAGAGTATAAAAGAGTGTAGACAAGTTTTCACATTCTCAATTTAACTACCAAGCTAATATCTAATACCTTTTTATCCTTCCAGCCGACAAGCGGTGGGAAGCATATCACAAATGACAGAACCCATAGCCCGGCGATGAGTGCCTTAGCGCGGCGTCTGCTCATGATTGTAGGGTAGCTGACAGGCCTCGTGACCGCCACATAGCGGTCCAGAGAGATCGCGCACAAATTGAGGATGGAGGCTGTACACATCCACACGTCCACAGCGAGCCACACCGAGCACCACACGTCCCCGAATATCCATATCTGGAAGCATTAGCACTATCTTGACTACAAGTCGTTTGACCGAAATCAATAGGCGATTCTTGATATCCGTAATTATTTTTATTCATCATCCGATTATTTCCCATGTAATTTGAATTATGTATGTCGTTTTTCAAATGTTTTAGCGGTCCAAGGTCATCGGTTTGCTGCGCAGTGACCTCCCCCCGCTACGCTCCGCTTTACCTAGCATTGTGTTCTGCGCAGCGATTCGCGTGAAGTTAAGAGCGGCTAAGATGTCTGAAAACTTTGATTTCTTTTTATGAAACTATCTAAAGAATAGATATTTTCGATTGCTATAACGAACTCTAGATCAGGTAAATTATAACTAAATGAATTGAAAATATTTCTGTGTCAATGTGGTTTGATGACTTCAACTTCACCTATTTAAGTGATTTAAACATAACGAAATTAAAAATAATACATAGTAATTAATTCAGACAAAAATTTTAATTCAAACCAGTATGATAAATTGGAAGCACTCTACGTGTTCTATAAAGAGCAACAAGTGTTGTAGAGGGTGTCAGGGGACGTAATTTGCATCCGAGCGGAAGTGCCACACGAGCCGCGACCGACCGAATAAAGCCCCCTTCACACAACGCACAAAATAATGCCCCTTCACACGACCGGATAAAATAACGACCCTTTAGACGCCCACACAAATCACTGCTCGAATATTTACCTTCCTATGCTTGATATAATTCTTGCAAGTAGGGTAAAAATTGTAACACACACAAAAACATAATGCGATAGCACAAACGAACATTTGAAAAAAATTATGAATACAGCGCCATCTGTTAGCTGGTAGTGGAATATTCAGATCTATGTTTTAAGACTTATCCGTGTATTGTGTAAAGTAGCTACACCCTACATTAAGTTTCGATTCAATTTTGTAATGTAACATCTCTCAGTCAAGATCACGCACGATTACTTCACATAAAAGACGCCACACAAAGCAAACGTGTTAACAAATTACATTTTGTGACTACGTAATAAAGATAAAAGCACTTAAATTCGTGACTCGGAGACTGAACGTAGGGAGATATCGTGGATTTTTTTAACCATAAAGCCGTGGGCACGAAATAAGCGACGAGCTGGGCTGATGGAAACAAAATTACTAGTACGATTCTGCTCGTTTCATTGCGTCGCTATATAACCTATCCTTTCATAGACCTATATAAATGGAATGGCTATAAGACATAGTATTTTGTGCGTATTTGATTTTCGCCATTTTGGCGCTGATCATAACGGTTTATAGCGGCGGTGTGAATTTGAACTAAAACTGTATATAGAATTAACTGTGATGTAACATCAACAGGTGAGTTTAAATCGGTATTATTACAATCTTAACGTGAAAAATAAATCGTCCATTACTCTCACCGGTAAAAAGATGTAACAAGTAATAGCTAATTAAAATAAATTGTAAGAGAGAAAGAGAAAGAAGATCAAGTTACCTTCTATATAAAGCCGTTTGTTAATTTAAAATGAATGAAAACCACAGACGAAAATACTTGTTTGAATTTTAAATAGCATAATTAGTGCAATCTGTTAAATGCAGACTTAATACAACTAGAGCTGGGAATTTAACTTTTGTATGAGTTGAGTGAAAATGTTTTTAAAAAGGGTTTCTTTTTAAATTCGTACTAGCTCGTTGCAATAGAATATGCATTAAGGTTTTATACAGAAATTAAATTAAAAATTTAAATACAACGTTTCTAACTACTATGAAATAATAAAAAAAAACAAATAAATAGAAAATCCACCATACACGCAGTAGGAACACTAGCACAAAAACAAATACTTAATCTTACTAATATTATAAATTCGAAAGTTTGGATGGATGGATGTTTGATATCTATGGAACAGCTTAAAGGATCTTATTGAAATTTGACAAAGATGTAACACATAGTCTGGCAACACATAGGCTATTTATTAAGTTTTCTTTTAATTCCGTGCGGCCAGTTTCGCGGACGCACGTTGTATGTATCTCATATTAAAGTTACATTAAGAAATACACTTAGTAACAAATTAGTGAATATGAGTATGGCTGTAAAAGTAATTATTCTTTAAAAAATTTAAGAAAATATAATTATTTAATTATTAAAAATGTCAGTTATAAGAATTGTTAAGATATCGGTTTTAGAATTAAATTGTATTTATTCTCGTAACAATTTATATTCCACGCTTTTCCTAACAATTGGTTCAATTATCATTTTTCTTGCGATTAAAATTGAACTTTATGAGCTTTGGTTTAGAGTTTATATTCTCATTTAAGGAATTTTATCTACTGAAGGACTGTTCGAGTTAATGTTACAAAGTAAATAACGTCTATATTGACAACGCCTACACTAATTTTAAATAAAATTGATTTTGAATTTGAATTTTATTGCTTTGGAATAAGGTTGATATTTATGATTATATAATTTGTATCGCGCCATCTGTTGCCGTGGTGGTCTCAAAAGCTTCTAATTAGGAAAAATGATGAGTTCAATGCTTTGCTATCCATTTTATTTTTTAGGAAATAACTAAAGTGTTTTTCAAAGCCATTTATTACCCGAATTACTAAATTCTGGAAGAACATTTTGCAAAATTATTAGATCCTTTTGGTGGTTAAAATATTGTTTAGTTGTTACGGTTAGATACGTTTTCTTTGTCCTGTTTACATGCAAAACATAAGTTTACGATTCGACAGTTTAACAGCTGTCTAAATTAACAAACGATCGGTGACATACCTTAAAGACCTCTCTAGTTGCAGAGAAGGGCAGCACGGCAAGACCGACGAGTAAGTCTGCGACGGCCAGTGACACGATGAAGAGATTGGTGACGCTGCGAAGCTTTGATGAACAGAGCACTGCCGCTATCACCAGCCAGTTGCCTGCATTCATTCAACAAGTCAGGAAAAGTCCATACAGAGCCTTAAGGTTTATTTAGAAATCCGGAATCACACGAATAACGATATACCACCAATGTACCGGACTTTAACATTCAAAAAACAATGTAGAAAATAATAAATAGCCTAATAAAACCAAAAGAGTACGGCATAAAAGTTAAAAAGCTATTTCTTTTCTAAGTGAAAACCGATTTGATATCATTTTTCCGATTGCACGTGGCCGAGGTTAGACCTTGAACTGCAACAAAGCTATAACAGCAACAACAAAACCTCTTTTCCATTAACTGCTTGTTTTCATAGCGAAATAGTAGCGCGACTCAGGTTCCGCGATTAGGCTCGGCGCAGGCGGACCACCGACCACAACCACCGGTGGCCAGCGACAAGGAATTCACATACATTTTGTTGGGACGCGGCGCACACGTGAGGCCACTCGCTTCAGTAGTGTCCTGATAAAAATTCAGATGCAGCCACCACTTGTGGCCAGTAACTCGTTTGTGTCGAGCCTTATGGTTTGGGCAATGACGGTCAGTAGTAGAACATTACTCGACTCTGTACAAATGGTTCCATTTGCGTGTTGCAAGAAACCAATTGACAATAGGATTGCTAGAAACCAGCTGTGCGACTGATTGAATGCGACTACTGCTTCTATGCCGCGCCGCAACAAAATAATAGCGTATTTCTACGAGTACGTATGTTGTAATGAGTATAAGAGTTTGGAGAGAGCAATTGCGAGGCTAGTCGCGCTAGTGGAAAAGGACCGTGCACCGACAGCGACGTCCGGTCTATTTCCAATTGCACTCGAGCTAAGAAGCTCGTTCCGAGAGACGGGGCGAGTGGGACGTGCGATTGTGTCGCTTCCAATAAGAATTGATTTCAAATACTTTTCCTTTATTTCATCACATAATGCCTCTGAAACATAAGTATTCAAACAATCCTTTTTAATGTAGATATATACAGAATAATAAAAACCTATTGAATATTAAGGAGTTTGGAACAATAAATAGCATAATTTTAGGATTTTATTTTGAACTACAAATTGACCATATGTAATATGTATGTATAAGTAATATGTATTTATATTGGTAGGTTAAAATTAAAAAGAAACGTTCATAACGGAGCAAATAAGAAAAAAAAATAAGATAGAAAATGCTATTAATATAAAAGGTATAAAATAGTTAAACAATTGCAAGTTATAGAATAAACGCAAATATAAAGTTAAAATAGAAACTCAAATCTGAAATGTACACGATAAGACATTAATGAGTTTAAGAATAGGCTCGAGAAGAACAATACAAAAGTTTCTCGTTCAATATCACCGCAGTATCTATTTCTTGTGTAAATCTTCGTTACAAAACCAAAGTGGAAACTCTCTCGACTTTTGTACTTAGCAATAATTCAATATAAAAGTTTTGTGAACTTTGCAATTTAGCTCATCGATCCTTAAACATTGGCAGAATAAATTAATTATTCATTTTACTTTTGTTATTTCTTAAAACCTTAATTTACTGATAAACGTAATTAGAAAATATATACACGTAAAGTTAGTCTTCAGTATAATATGAAAGGTTTGTATTTCTATTTGTTTGAAATCAATTGACCTGTTGATTATTTTATATTTAGTCCTAGGTATAACAATGCATACAGATTTTAGCTAATATTTAGTAAAATTGGTAAAAGTAATAAATAAGGTCTAAAGTCGATATAAGTGAATGAATATTTTATAAGATTAGGAATATCGTACATCAAAATCTTCTTTTTATGTTTCTATGTTTCTGAGCAAAATTTCGTATCGTATTTTATGCAGATTTTTTTTAATAATTCCTCCTTTCCTCAACTCTTGATTAAGTTATGAAGTTAACAATGAAAACTTTCCAAACCGTAGACATTTTCAGTTATCAAAATTAAGAATTTTACCCTTCCTGCTCCTTCCTGTTTCTTTATTGTCTTTGTTATTTGATTACCAAAATTCATAATTTTTAATAATATAAAAACATATGTAATTAATTTCATGAAAATAACTTAATTTTATACAAAAAAACTTCAATTGTCATTATCACAAAGGATTCACAAAATAACAAAGGTTCTTCATCCGAGCTCATGTCTTATATGACGAGGGTTGGTTCAATTATCTCTTTCTATAAGATTCTGTCTTTGAAAACTTTTACAATAACATAATATCGTATCATTCGCTTTAAAAATAAACAAAGATAACGATATATACTTACACAGGTGATATACGTCATGAAAAACCAATTTCATTTTATTAAAACTTTTGAAGAAACCTATTTAGATCATATGATCTAAAGAGGGGACTTTATAGTGTGGGAGAGAGAGGGACATATGTCCCTAGGACATAGTCAACCATTGTTGTCCACTGCGGCTTGGTTCATTTTACACATATCTTTGAATTTCTGCACAGATATTTGCAGGTTGCATCACGATGTTTACCTTCACCTGAAGAACGTCGAATATATAAAATTTCAATATTGAAAAACGCATTGGTACATTGCGAGGATCGAATGTAAATGTGTAGATATCGAATCCGGTGAAGCGTTTTACAACTGCGCCATCTCTCGGAGAAACGCTTGATAAAACTTAAAAACAAATGCTTGTTTTATAAATTCATAAGTAATTTCCATTCTGTTTTCTATTACTAGAGTGTCATTTTAGCTGCATATTAATGACATTTTTGCATAAGAAATGCAGCAAAGCGCATTGAATGCGTGAATCATTGACCCCGAGAAAGTTCTAGACTAAATGAAATTATGTTTTCTTAAAAAACATACAGCGAAGTAGATCTTTAACATATTGTTTATAGTGTGTTTAAAATGAGAATGTGTCCACGATTTCGATTTGTAATTAATTGAGAGTAAAACATGACTGAAACTGAAAAAAAAACATTTTCACAATTTGTGAGCTAATTTTTACAATATGGTTCATGCACTTTTTTATTTGTAACAAATTTTACACAAGACTTTTCGTCATCCAAGACAATGCTGGATGAGAATATTAAACCCATTGAATTCTATTATTTGAAGCTAACAACCAGCAATAGCTTCATATACACATTCATTGTACACGTGTATAAACGTGTAGCTTGTTTAATATAAATATATAAAAAGTCCTTTTCCTCAACAACAAAAGGTTGAAGTGTAATTAATATAAGAAGGTCAAACGCTTTGATAATTGTAGTCAAGCTTAACCTTTTCCAATTTTTATAAAAATACTAGCTGTCGCGAGGTACTCCGTGCACGCGGAATTACAAAAAAAACTTAATAAGTAGCCTATGCGTTCTTCCCGATTTTGTTCTATATGTATGCCAAATTTCATTGTGATCCGTTCTGAAGTTCTGGAGATACCTTCAAACAAACATCCATCCATCCATCTGTCCATGTTATATTAGTAATATAACTTACATATATTTCAAATTTATGTATGTAAATTTAACGTAAATTTCTAAGAATAAATTAAACGCTCTCTTTACCTTAGCCTTGAGTGGTGGGCAGAGATCATTTCTAATTGAAATAAATAATGAGAAATGTTTTAGTAACCAAGGTAGCCGGTTAGATTAGCTTAAATATGTATAATCTACACCAATGGACTATTTAAACGTTCCTGAGTACGGTAGTTAATATATAAAACCGAATCGATCTGTAATTTAAAATAGAATCCATGAATAAAAATCCGATACCATTGTACCGGAATAATTGAACCTGAACCCTTGTCAAGTGAAGAGCCCAGCACTCGAAGTCCGCGCGGTCGGCGGTGCTTTGTTATTTTTAGTTCGCTAAAGATATTTTTTTTTTAATTTTAAATCGACCCCATTCCTTTGTAAGCGCTGCGTTTACGAGTAAATTATCATAAAATATTCATTTTTTTATAAGAGAAGGGGGCAAACGAGCGGCGGTAACACCGAGTAACTCATTTAATAAATTGGTAAGAAATACCTGGTAAGATTTACTTATGTCAATTTTATAACAGTGCAATTGGCATGAAAAGTTTCCATTTTTCATTTAAGAATTTAAAAAAGTCTATTCCTTCAAATATTAGAAAGGCATTTTTATATTGGAAATGCTTTCTCTTTGGTTGTATTCAATGAAATACATTCACTAATATGTGTTTACAAAAACATCTTTACAGAAATAAAAAATAACAGAATTATAGAAAACATATTTAAGCCCGATTCGGACAGGTCGACGCAGCGTGGGCAGGCCTCCCGCACAATGGACCGATGACCTGGTCAAGGTTGCGGGAGTGTCCTGGATGCAGGTGGCACAAGACCGGTCACCGTGGCGATCTTTGGGCTCCCCCAAAGATATATATAAGCCCCCTATGCCCAGCAGTGGGCGTCTCCTGGCTGACAAGAAGAAGATTTAATCCCGATTGAGTTATTTGTATTGTATACTAGCGGTCGCCCGCGGCTTTGTCAGCACAGAATTAGATAAAATTAGCCTGTGATATGCCCGCGTGCATCAGCTTCCCATCAAAGTCCCAACAAAATCGGTGCTTTGTTAAACTACAATTTTCTATTGATTTAAAATTATTTACGACTGTTTTTTTTTTTAATATTCTCTTATGGTTTTTCCGTCTCTACATCCGTCGGTTTGCTTTCTATTTCTGAAGCGATTTCTTTTAGAATTTCCAACGAGCACAATACTTTTGAATGGCATTGTCGTTGGAATATAAAAATATTGAGATTTCCCGAACAATGCGATATTTTTGCAGCTACGCGCAATGCGACCTGTTTTCTACAGATTTTATTTTACTTGTACTTTTAATGGATTTTGAATTATTTCATAAAGTGATTAGTTGTTATCTCTGTAAACATTTCAAATATAAATTATTAATAAATGAATAACCACATTCGTGTCAGTGAGCATTTAGTCAGGCATTTCTTAGGAAATAAAAATAATATGTAATTAAATAATATATTTGTTGAAATAATACAATTTAAAAATAAGTCATATTTAACAAAACAACTCGGAAATTTTGTTAATAATAATAGCTAGAATTATATCTATATATATATATACAAAAGTCGTGTTAGTTACACTATTTATAACTCAAGAACGGCTTTACCGATATGGTTGAAAATTGGTAAGGAGGAGGCATAGAGCCAAGAGACGGACATAGGATACTATTTATTAATTTTTTAACTTTTTTTTCGAATTTATGCCTTGAAGAGCTGCTTTTTATTTAACTTATCCATATATTAAGTTTCTTATATATTCACGCGGTCGGAGTCGCGGGCGATAGCTAGTATTAATATACAATTACTTTTAAACCATACACATAAAATATTCGCTTGTATTTTTTTTTCATGTAGTTGAATCTAACAAAGACTTACCCACGTCTAAGGACTTAAGAAAAACTTACGTAAGTACTTCAGTTTCATTGGTTTTGTGAAAATAATTCTGAATTGGCAGTAACTCGTTTACGAGTTTCCACTTTTGGAGGGAAAACTTGTAGGCTCACAGGTTTTGAGAAGTTTGCCTCAAAGTTACTGACTTGAACATTCTTTATTACTTTCCTTTAGACGTTGGAAATATATTTATTTTGTATTTAACTATCTTTAGTTCTGATTTTACTTGGTTTGTTTTTTATTTTCCAGGAGGATTTAAATGACATTGTGAATAAATTGAAAACAGCAGCACGGCAGCCAAAATGTTTTTATTCTGTTGTTAATCCTTATATTAAAACTATATATATTATTTACATTAATAAATTCATCAAGTACTGTTAGCGACTACATCTCGTTATTCACTTCCCGCGCAATTCTCTTCTACTTTGACATCTATATTTTTTTATAATTAAAAAGGCAAAGGTTCTCGCCATTAAGCCACGTTCTAACAAACATCCTTGCATTGAAACATTCGCATTTATAATATTAGTAAAATGTAATATTTGAAGTTGGTAAAGCATTACCGTCTCTAACAACGTAAATAAATCCTTAAAGTAGAGCTAACCGTAGCGCGAGGAACCCTTGTCAAGATCTCGGGATAAAACTTTCGCTTGGCTCTTTGTTATTTTAAGATTTTTTATCTATACATATGAATAAAATGGAAGTGTCTGTATGTAATTAAAAAAAAAAGTTATATTTGATATATAAGATGAGTAGTTGATAACGGAAAATGAATTTTGAAAAATTTTGATCCGTCTGTCTCCGCAAGGCCGCGTTTGTTCCGGATAATCTCCGGATCGGTTGGACCGATTTTGCCGAGACTTTGACGGCAAGGTAGCTGATGTACGCGGGCATATTATAGAGTATCATTTTATTATATTTAACTTGTTTTTGATATGGACTCTTCAAAAAAGTAGTTTAGTTAAAAAAAAAAACAATAATTAACAGTTTAATTGTAATTATTTAAAATTACATAATTTATAGCAATGATAAAATTAAAGAATGTTCGCATAATGTTAACAAGTCAGTAGCGTCGTTTATTAATCCATTTATGTGTTAAAATTCAACACTTCATAGTGTTTAAAATATAAGTCACAAAACCGAGCGAGCGATGGAGGCGATGGAGGGCCCTCGAGCTCGCACAATGAGAGGAAAGAGCAAACTGGAAATGCAAAATGTGCGCCGCCGATATACCACCTGAATTTATTACTCACAATATCTGGAATAGAAAGAAATATTGATAAAAAAAAAGAAGAACATAAAACTGTTATTATTGAGTTTGAGAATAGAACAGAAATATAAAATATATTTAGGATTTATTGTATTGCTTTGAGAGCTTATGAAACTGTCGCTCTGCATTAAATTATAATGATGGAAGATAATTGTTCTTATCTATATGAAATCGTTACAAAATGGTAATTAAATGGTATTAATTCAGCTGCAATCAAGCGAGTTGTTTGCTCTTGATGACAAATAGGGAAATGCGACGCAACATCAATTTATTACGGAGTGAAATTAATTGTTTGTACTACAACTTGAAAGTTGTTAGTTTTGGTTACTAACTATACTGTAAAATTAATACTCTAAGCTAATCTTTGGGTGTGACTCGGATTTTACAGATTTTGCATCAAAGCAATGTCTGTGAATGAATTCATTTGCAATTAATTAGTTCATTATAATTTGTTTATATAAAATATATAGAGGCAGCATTCACGATTGGTTGGTGACATATAGGAAAACACATACGGCACATCTCAGTACTTATACTGTGACACTGTAATCTACTAATGGAATCGTCAAGTCGCGGCGTCCCCTCCACAGCATAAATGAATACGGGCATTAAAACACTTCACGCGGTTCAGCTTTAAAGTGTTCACTTATACACACAAATACTGGCTGGTTTTAATAAAAAGAAAAACGAAAAGGGCCCTCATTTGTTTCTAAATTAAGAACAAAAAGCACTACTCACTTGCATTCCAACTAATATTGTATTAATATTATTTGTGCTGGTATTTTAAATATAGGTGCGAACCTGCGACCACGAGGACGTCAATGAGCGCGAGCACGGCGAGGCTAGCGATGCTCGAGGGCTCGTCCCAGCGCACGTCGCGCCACAGCGCCGAGCACGCGGACTCGTTCAGCGAGCGCATGCTGCGCCCGCCCCGCCCCGCCGCGCGCACCGCATGCCGCGACTACCCGCCGCACTCCATTCTCGCCGCGCTGACAACAAACACAAAGTAAATTTACAACCTCTGTGAATAGAAGCAAAAGTATTAATGTTTTTAGATATCTTGGCGGTTCTTAACTTCGCACGAGTCGCTGCGCAAAGCATAATTTTAGGCGTAGTAGGAAGCGGAGGGAGGGCACTGCGCAGCATACCGATGATCTTGAGCCGCCAAGATATTTGTAAACAGTTTTATAGCAATGCATGTATACCATAGTTAAAAACCATTATTATACAGACACTGCGATAGAGGCAAAGGCACAACGGTCGTGGAGCCACTGCGACTAGAGGCAAAGGCACAACAGTCGTGGAGCCACTGCGAATAGAGGCAAAGGCACAACAGTCGTGGAGCCACTGCGAATAGAGGCAAAGGCACAACAGTCGTGGAGCCACTG